ACCGTATAAAATTAGACAGTGGACATGGATTGTAATTAGGCCCTTTACAATCGTAAATCATTACCAAATGTTTYAAATTTTTAACAATGTCCAAACAAATTTCCATATGGTCTAAGATGGAATAGCTAGCAACTACAAAATCAAAACCTTTGCCTTTAGTAATAATAATACTATCAATTTTATAATTTTTAACATTGATAATATTAGACTGTGGTAAACATAGTCGCATTGAYTCGATCACTCGTTTTTCTGCATCCGTTTCGTAGGTAGTGTAAAYATCAAAATTATAAAATAAGGATAAATTTATGAGAGCCCGTCCTACGTCGCTAGCACCATAATGTATTAGTACAGTTTTAATTCCTTTAAATCTCCTAGTATCCGAATGCAAGATGCAGAAAGCTACCAATTATGCATGAAGAATCGTTGCAGCTTCCTCAAAGCTTAAAGTTTCAGGAATAATCCAAGTGAAWTCTGAATCAGGTAAAATTTCATCACTTATAGTTAAATTATCAACAAGTCCCATTACTCTAAGACATTTTTCATCTCTTCCTGCATATTCTGTAAAAGATATCTGTGATTCTAAGCTCACGTCATTTTTTAACCAGTATTTATAAACATTTAAGTCAAATGAAGCATATTCTCCTTTTACAATCCTTTTATTTTTTTCTTTATTCAATGGCAACTCTTCCACCCTTACTAATGAGCCTGATTTATCAATTTKAGCTTGCCAACGCGAAGGAGAAGTAGACTTTGCTTGCAACGGCATCCATCTGTATGTACCCCATACCCTATTTGGCGCTAACACATTTTCACGAAGATTAAGTTTTATCTGTGGTTCGTAGAACTCATTTTGAAGGGAAAATTTCGGAGCTTTTTCATCTTGTAGATCAGAAATTTGGAGTTTTTTATACCCCGGTTCTTGTTTTATATTTTGAAGTATCTTAAATATATCATTATCGATAATAGTGTTAACCACAAATATAACATTGTCATATTTCAAGTCTCGTAAACAGATTCTYAACTGATCCAAACAGTTTTCTTGGCTATAAACGACAACAGTTTTTCCTACGTTTTTTTCTTTATGTAAAAGTAGAGCTGTACGATAGTTTGCAATTTTTATCCTTAGGACGACGTTTAATCCCMCMCTTGTCAATATMGAAATCGCATTATATTCCTCTTTTGTTTCAACGATTGTWAATAAATATGATTCTTTACCGAGAGTGCTAATAAATTTTCTTACATCGTTATAATGCGCGTTATTTATAATCGTCAAAATAAAATTTTCATTTAATGTCTGGTAAAGCAACTCTCTAGTAATTAATTTTATAATAAGGTTTTTCCTCGTCCGCTGCATAATATTATTGAGAAATTCCAAAATATTTTCATATTTGTTTTTGGACTCATTCGTTAACAATATCTTTATGTCACTGCTTCTGCTACTATTTTTTGAAATTAATCCTATTACAACGTTTAATATGTCGCTGRTATTCATATTTGTTTCATTGATATTCTGGATAAATCGGAGCTCATCAGCAACAATTTTCCCATTCCTGTTTTTAAATATTATTTCTTTAAACTGAATTCCACTCATTTCAATTCCGGGGCAAGCTATTACGTTTACCCGTTTGTCAAACTTCATCGGTAATGCTATTAACAAAAATTATTATTGTCTATATTGATTCTTAAACTATTTATGATACGTGACATTATTTTTTGTGGTAAAATTTATACACATAATATTTAAATAAGTGATTAGAAATCTTAGAGAGATTATTTTAAGAGATATTATTGACTAATAGTTTATATGTTTTAACTAGTGGTCGAATATCTCATAATTGTAAGTGTTTCACTAAACCGTTATATATAGGAGTACGATTATACAAATCTCAGCAGCAGCTATAAATAATTTGTTTTTAAAGCAAAATTCAAATAAGTAATAAGAATTTTTTTTACTCTTTAATTGTACAAAAATGAAATTGAAATTTATTTATTTTTAGACCATGCTATTAAAGTTTTTTACACATACATTTAAATTTTCATTTATGTGATAAAAAGATTTTGAAGAGTTTGAAATATTTTGGTCTTAATTGTATTTTTATAACCACGAGTAAGATAAAATATTAGGTTTCAAATGCTTACCATTGGTTTCTTTAATTTTTTCTGTTAATTGTGCCATGTCAATGACGAGTTTTTGTATCCTACTCGGTATGAAAATACTTTTACTTTCATTGCTAATAATATGCACTTGAATTAATCCATCTAGTAATAACCTCCAATCACTGCTCCATTTAAGTGTTCCATTCGAGTACGATGTAGAAAGTCCGTTAATAATATTGTAAGATTCTTTATATTGGTAACCATGTAAAAGAAGATTCGAGTTAATATTTTGTTCGTCGAAAAGTTTTGTTTCTTCTTTTAGTAAAATGATTTCATTAATATATTTATTCCTAGTTTCTGCTAATCGAATAATTCCAGAAGCTATCATGATTTCATCTCTGGTTTTTACTTCAAAATTTCCTGAGCCTGAAAATTACATTATTTTAAATTTTGTTTTTAAAGATTATATTTTTAAGACTACTATTTATACCTTTAAATATCATAATAATTAAATGAATTGGGTTGTTCCTAGGAACTTTTAGTATTTTATTGTAAATAATAATATTTTCCAGTATAAAAGAATTATCAGCCTTATTCGGTATTAAATTCGAGTAAATATCCACAACCAACTTTAAATAGATAGTTGAAGAAATAATAATGTTGCCGTTAATTTTAAAATTTCGTAAAAACTTGTATTGATCTGATTTCAAATCAATCAGTTCCTCAGTTTGTTGAGTTTCCMGCRATTTRYCACCTTCCACGTGCCTGTCAAGTATATACAATAGTARTTTATACCATCCTTTTAAGATAARTCTATTTCGTACTTACCAATCAAAGCTGTGCTCCCATCGGACAAGAGAAGAAATTAATGGGGTTTCTCTAGAAACAGGATAAGGAGTTCTCGGATAGGGCGTCCCTGACTTAATTAAGAATCCAAGATTATAATGATCTCCTAATGTTAAAAAAAAAAAGTTGCATTGTCCTTATGGCCTCGTTTTGTTAATGATAGATTAATGCAACTACTGTCCAATGATTTGTTTAGAATTGCCTGATAAATTAACAGTATTAGGTTATTTAACTTAAAATAATTAAATTAAAATATGTTTCTTAACAAATAAACCTGTAGACGTCCATGGGTTGAAATTTCAATYGTTATTGCGTTTTTTGGTATCATTGGTAATACTTCTTCAAATAAAACAGGAGAAAGCAGATTATTTGTATGATATTCCGCTGAAGAAATTTGAGCTTTCATTGAATGCCATTCGTTTTTCGGAATAGACGTGCATATCCAACGTTTACTGCGATGTTTTGGTTGAGAGATGACTTTTTCTAAGTATTCCAACAATTTTGAACCAGCTGGGGCAATGTAACGACTATGATAAGCAATATTACCAGTTGGCACGGTTTTAGCAAATATTCCTTTTTTCTAAAAATGAAAAGTTATGATATTTTTAAAAATTTATTAGTAAAATTGTCTATATTAAAAAATCTACTAAGTAATACCTGTAATTCTTTCACAAAAGAATTTATAGATTCGGTAGGTCCACTTATCGTAGAGCTTTCTGATCCGTTATGACATGCAACGTCAATGTCTTCGGGTATAAGATCTTTAATCTGTTTGTAACCAAGACCAACTGCAGCCATCGTTCCGTGTATCAAGTCACTTTTTACCGAAGCCAAACCTCGGGAGAGAGCACTTAAAATCATTTCCTCAGCAGTAAAGCAACCATCTGCGTAAGCACAACCCAGCTCACCAACGGAATGTCCGATCATGTAATTTGGTTTAATGCCAACTGCATATAGGATATCTACCAGACCGATCTACGTAATAATTATACAAAACCATTTATAGAAAAATAACAAAAAATTTATAATGTTAATAGAGTGATGTCATATATATTATTACTTGTATTGCCGCTATTCCTAAAAAGCAATTTATGATATTRTCGTATATAGTTGGATCTTTATCGCATATAATATGCACAATATCGTAACCACGAGGTCTTAAGACTACATCACATTTTTTTATTGATTCGGCAAATATTGGTATCTTCATCAGTGATTCACCTGGAAGAGAATTTTACATTTAATAGATACGATGCAACATCTTTTTTTTTAATTATTAGATGTAACTTATGTTTTTTATTTATTATTTAATTTTTTATTATTTTTATCTATTTTTTTTAATTTTTAATATACAATAAAAAGCAGAAGAATTTTTAATACCTATTCCAGTCCATTGTGATCCCATCCCCGAAAAAACGAACCAGATCTGTCGAGATTTAGCTGACAAATTATCTTGAATTAACTCTACCGATTGTTCTGATTCAGCTGCTTCAAATTCTGAAATGACTGTATACCCAGAATACAAAGAATGAGGTAGTGGTTTCTCAGTAATATCATTGATTAATTGAGCCAGTTCATCATCTCCTCTGCTCGAATGTAACTAAAGACAAATAGAATATAATTCACGGTTAATTTGTCTAATCAGTTTTTTCGTAAAATAAATATCTTACAATATTAAAGATCGATGATATCATTTCTTGAGTACGACAAGATGCTACAAAAAGTCGTGGCATATTATTTGATGAAAGCTTTCTCTTCTGCTTTTCTTTTGAATGACGTTTTAAGATAATGTGAGAAAAGGAACCGTTTATAGAAGCCGTGTTAACAGCAGCGTAACAATCCGTCCAAGGTGTTGGTTCTGTAATTACTTTTACGCGTCCATCCTGAAGACATTGGGCCTCTTCTGGTGGCTCGGAATAGTGAAGATTTGGAGGTATAACTCCGGTCTCCATAGCAATTAGTACCTAGATATAAAAAATTAGTACATGTAGAGTATTAAACAAAATTTGTGTTTTTTTTATATTTAATTTTGTCTTTTCAGAAAATTTACCTTGATTATCGAATTTATTGCATTATTATTAAATGTATAACCAATGTTTGACTTTATAGATCCTATCAAAAGAGGATTAAAAAAACTTCGATCTTGACCATAAACAAGATCTATTGCATTTAATTCATCGAGATCTTTTGATTTGATTGCTGTACCATCGGCCTCGATGTAAGTTATGTCGCTTGGTTTTAGACCGCTGTGTTTCAATGTCTGTTTCATTATAGAAGCCTGAAATTCGGCTGTAGGAAATAGACAAGTGTTTCTGGAAATGGCATCTGTGTTCCTAACGCAAAGATTAATTACTTCGGCATAAACTCGCTTTGCATGTTTTGCTCTTTGAAGGAAAATTGTTCCTATCGACTCGCTTCTCGAGAATCCAGAAGCATTCTTATCAAAAGATTTATTTACCCCGTCTTTTGACAATAAACTTAAATAATGGAACAAGAAAACAACAAATTATTTATAAATTAGGAAAAAATTGAACTTGCTGCTGTTTTATTTATCATTGAAATTATACAAATATAAGAAAATATTGCCTTTTTGTCTTTAAATGCAAGTACTGGAAGAAATTATACCTAGAATACACTTATTTTACCTAAATCATACAGTTGGTAAGACGTTTGGAGAAGTAGGCATAAGACTCCCCCACTAACAATCGCGTAATCGCAATCACCAGCTTTTAAAGCCTCGTACGCTTTTTGAATTGCTAACGAACTTGATGTGCTGGTTGAATCTATAGTGCAGCTTGAGCCAATTAAACCCATACAAAACGAGATYCGGTTTGATAGCAAACCACGGCAATATCCTAGTAGACTATATCCATCTAGCTATAATGAAAATAAAAACAATAACAGATCGAATGATACTACCTTTACATAATATCCATTAAATAAATTTATTAACTTACCTGAGTTTTATTATTCTAGAGATAACTATCTGACTCATATAAACTCAATACCCCGTAAACATTGGTTCTTTTTTTCCGTAATTCTACAGGATTTATTCTGGCATCAATGATCGCTTCAAACGTAACTTCCATTGCAATTTTTATTTCTGGCGCCATAAATTTTGCCTGTATTGAATTAATTCCAAAAAAATAGTTATCGAATTTCKTTAAATTAGAAATTGTTCCTAAACGCAATGGTATTTTTGGCGAATCATCTAAAAAATAATAATTTATGAAACTCATAAAGAATGTACTGTAATGTAATATATTTCTGTATATATAAAAATTAAATTTATATACTAATTCTTACCTAATTTCCATCTTGTATGATCTGAGGAAACGCAATCTTCTCCATTTATTAGATTCGTCCTTAAATCATTGATATTCTCACTTTTTGGGAATTTTCCTGATACTCCAGAAATRACCACTGCATTTTCTTCTAAACCTTCAACTTTCATATTTGCTAAATCTATCTATACGAGCAAACTATTAGCTACAACTTCGTGTGTCTAATAAAGCTATTCAGTGTTGCTGCTGTTTATATATCCTAACGAAAAACTTAAATTAAAATGGTTATGTATAACATTTGTTTTTAAATTTAAATGCTTTTACATATGATGCATTTTTATTGTATTTTTCTTTGAAAATATCTTATAAAGGGGCTAGCGCTGACGTGTGAATTTAAATTGTTTTTTTCTAGACAAATTAAATTTYCATACAATGTATAAGGAAACGATTCGACCTTCTTTGATCTTTTTAATCAAGGAATATGAAACAGTGGCTAGGTGGAAAATTTTTTAAAAAACCGATGTAAAAAGAAATATATTTCTCTTTCATATAACTCTTTTAATAATACTTATTGGATGTTTTTAATGGATGATCCAAGTTTGTGAATATTATACTGGAATCACATTATATTATTATTCCGGGCGGCTGCTCATTATCCATTGAGTTATTTAAGGCTGACTGTCCAATCCTTTCACGAATGCCTATTAAGATATTTGGCACAGATATTACAACAATTTATATATTTTTTTTATTTTTAAAATTTAGCTAATGTATATAGTTACGTTTTAGGACGTTTTCTTTTTATTCTATAAGTTCGATATTTTCTTCGTCGACATTGCAAGCAAACTTGTCAAATGCTGCTTTCGGTGTATCAGGTAATATCATAGATTCCTTGTTTTTGGAGTTTATTCCTTAAGAATATAAGGCGCCCTGTGTGAAAAAAATATGAAGATTAAAATTTAGTGATCGAATGACCTAGTAACGTTTTTTGAACGTTACCTATCCTGCGCAACTTTCACTTTTTGTAATGTGTGTGTATAACTCGTATACTTGTGTGCTATTGACGTACACAGGGTACGCTGCGAGGCAGCTGACGCATATAAGTATAATATATATGTGTATATACCTATATGTGATATATATTTATATATATATATAAAAGAAATTCATCAAATGTACGTGTAAAAGAAAGTGCCAAACTATGAAATGTTTTTGCGTGAAAAATGTGGTAAAATGTAATTTAAAATGTCATTCAAGTCTTCTGTGTTGCCACAAGTAGGCTAATAATAATTTCTTATTTGTATTCTGAAGAGTTTATTACCCTTTCTTCGAAGAAGAAGAAAAAGAAGAGAATAAAAAAGTCATAAATTTTGTTTTGAATAACTTTCTTTTTTCTTTACGTATTTTAAATAAATATTTTTAATGGCACTCTCTATCAATCTCTTTTTCTCTCACTCTCCTTATTCCTATAATAACATTTGTATTTTTGAAGAATGCACTTGTAGATATGTAGTGTACGAGATCGGCGGTCCTTTATGAAGTAATCAATCCGATACCAATATCTTTGCCTTTATCGTGTTTTCCCTTGTCTTTTCAAACAAGTCCAAACCTTCGTTTTTCCTTTCAGCTCGCTTTATCAGCCGTTCGCATGTTCGTGTGTGTGTATGGGAGCGATTTACGTGTGTATGCAAGGGGGGTGGGGTTACGTCGGGCCTGTTCTCGAGGGTGTATTCTTTTCAACGTTGCTTTAATAGTAATTTGATATTCTATAGGATATCAAAGTATTATGTTCGATGCCTAGGAAAAACTGTCCATAGAGACTTATTTCCGACTTCGTCTGAAGGCTCTTTACATTCATAGTAATGCCGAGGATTTACTAGTAATGCCTGATGCCCGGCTTTGATGGTAACATATATATATATATAGAATATCAGTTTTACTGTAGTGATACGGATAGTGAGCATCATTTTTTTCGTTATACTTCTTTAAGCGGGTTTTGTAAACTGAAGTTAGATGCGACCGAAAAATTGACTACGCGAAGTTTTCGATATTTACGATGCGCGGTCAAAGCGATTTAAAATTGACGGCATGAAAGTCTTGTGTCTTCTCTTCTTCTTCCTCTCTTATTTTYTTCTCAAGCGGTCACCCATCCTAGTTCCAATCGTACTAAAGCACTGCTTGACTTAAATGATCGAGCAGGAACTAATGCTGTCACCGCGCCATGCCCGTTAACGCACAAAGTAATTTGATATTACTCCCTTATACTTAGTATGGACTGATGATATCTATATTTTGATATTTCTGACCAGGATCCATATACATTTAAATTTCTGTTTAAGTTTTCGAGATGCCTAAAACTAATGCAAAGAAATGTAAAGAATATCGTCTTCGTAGGAAGAAGAATAAAGAAAATAAAGAAAACAAAACACAAACTAATGCGGAACGTTGTAGGCTGCGAAGAAAAATGATTGCACTAGGACATGAATTGTYTGCGAATGAAATTTTATGTATTCCGTTAACCTCTAATTTACTTTTCGAACCATCGGCTCAACCTTTGGTTACCAGTACAAATTTAAATAATACTAATGTCACAGGAAATACTATTATTATTGTTAATTATTTATTTTATTTTTCTTGGTCTTTATTTTTTG